GTTGTGTGTGTCAGGTGTGTGTGTTGTACAGGTGTGTGTGTGTTGTACAGGTGTGTGTGTGTGTGTGACAGGTGTGTGTGTGTGTGTGTGTGTACAGGTGTGTGTGTTGTACAGGTGTGTGTGTGTACAGTGTGTGTGTGTGTGTGTGTGTGTTGTACAGGTGTGTGTGTGTGTACGTGGAAGGTGTGTGTGTGTGTACAGGTGTGTGTGTTGTACAGGTGTGTGTGTTGTACAGTACAGGTGTGTGTGTTGTACAGTGTGTGTGTGTGTGTGTTGTGTGTACAGGTGTGTGTGTTGTGTGTTACAGTGTGTGTGTACAGGTGTGTGTGTGTGTGTGTGTTGTACAGGTGTGTGTGTGTGTGTGTGTGTGTGTGTGTACAGGTGTGTGTGTTGTACAGGTGTGTGTGTGTACAGTGTGTGTACAGGTGTGTGTGTGTGTGTGTGTGTGTGTGTTGTACAGGTGTGTGTGTGTGTGTGTGTGTGTACAGGTGTGTGTGTGTGTGTGTGTGTTTGTACAGGTGTGTGTGTGTGTTGTGTACACAGGTGTGTGTGTGTGCTGTGTACAGGTGTGTGTGTGTGTTGTGTGTGTGTTGTACAGTGTGTGTGTGTGTGTGTGTGTGTGTGTACAGGTGTGTGTGTGTGTACAGGTGTGTGTGTGTGTGTGTTGTACAGGTGTGTGTGTGTGTGTGTTGTACAGGTGTGTGTGTGTTGTACAGGTGTGTGTGTGTGTGTAACAGGTGTGTGTGTTGTACAGTGTGTGTGTGTGTGTGTGTGTTGTACAGGTGTGTGTGTTGTACAGGTGTGTGTGTTGTACAGGTGTGTGTGTGTGTGTGTGTGTGTGTGTACAGGTGTGTGTGTGTGTGTGTGTACAGGTGTGTGTGTGTGTGTGTGTTGTACAGGTGTGTGTGTTGTACAGGTGTGTGTGTGTGTGTGTGTGTGTACAGGTGTGTGTGTTGTACAGGTGTGTGTGTTGTACAGGTGTGTGTGTGTGTGTGTGTGTGTGTACAGGTGTGTGTGTTGTACAGGTGTGTGTGTGTGTGTGTGTGTACAGGTGTGTGTGTGTGTGTGTGTGTGTGTGTACAGGTGTGTGTGTGTGTGTGTGTACAGGTGTGTGTGTGTGTGTGTGTGTGTGTACAGGTGTGTGTGTTGTACAGTGTGTGTGTGTGTACAGGTGTGTGTGTTGTACAGGTGTGTGTGCGAGTACCTTCGTGCACGAGGAAGCGCGCGTAAACCAGGAGCCAGTGTCGATACTCAGGGGCCGACTGAAGAGCCAAAGCCGACGAGAGCTGAGACTCCAGGAACGACAGAGTGACTCCCTGCTGCAGGTGGAGAGAGAGAGACGACAGACGAGAGGAGAGACGCCCCGCGCTGAAACACACACACACACACACGATTAAAACACACACACACACACACACACACACACACACAGAGACGACAGACGAGAGGAGAGACGCCCCGCGCTGAAACACACACACACACACACGATTAAAACACACACACACACACACACACACACAGAGACGACAGACGAGAGGAGAGACGCCCCGCGCTGAAACACACACACACACACACGATTAAAACACACACACACACACACACACACACACACAGACAGACGACAGACGAGAGAGAGACGCCCCGCGCTGAAACACACACACACACACACACACGATTAAAAACACACACACACACACACACACACACACAGACAACAGAGACGACAGACGAAGACGAGAGGAGAGACGCCCCGCGCTGAAACACACACACACACACACGATTAAAACACACACACACACACACACACACACACACAGAGACGACAGACGAGAGGAGAGACGCCCCGCGCTGAAACACACACACACACACACACACAAAACACACACACACACACGATTAAACACACACACACACACACACACACACACACACACACAGAGACGACAGACGAGAGGAGACGCCCCCGCGCTGAAACACACACACACACACACACGATTAAAACACACACACACACACACAGAGACGACAGACGAGAGGAGAGACGCCCCGCGCTGAAACACACACACACACACACGATTAAAACACACACACACACACACACACACACACAGAGACGACAGACGAGAGGAGAGACGCCCCGCGCTGAAACACACACACACACACACACATTAAACACACACACACACACACACACACACACAGACGACAGACAGAGGAGAGACCCCGATTGAAACACACACACACACACACGATTAAAACACACACACACACACACACACGAGACGACAGACGAGAGGAGAGACGCCCCGCGCTGAAACACACACACACACACACACACGATTAAAACACACACACACACACACACACACAAAACACACACAGAGACGACAGACGAGAGACCCCGAAACACACACACACAACACACACACACACAGGACACAACACACACACACACACACACACACACACACACACACAGACACAGACAGACGACGACAGACGAGAGGAGAGACGCCCCGCGCTGAAAACACACACACACACACACACGATTAAAACACACACACACACACACACACACACAGAGACACAGACGACAGACGAGAGGAGAGAGACGCCCCGCGCTGAAACACACACACACACACACGATTAAAACACACACACACACACACACAGAGACGACAGACGAGAGGAGAGACGCCCCGCGCTGAAACACACACACACACACACGATTAAAACACACACACACACAGACGACAGACGAGAGAGAGACGCCCCGCGCTGACACACCACACACACACACACAAACACACACACCACACACACAGAGACGACAGACGAGAGGAGAGACGCCCCGCGCTGAAACACACACACACACACACACATGATTACAACACACACACACACGATTAAAACACACACACGATTAAAACACACACACACACACGATTAAAACACAGTGTGTGTATGTGAGTGTGAGAGAGAGAAAGTCTCCGGTGGTGGAGGCTCTGACAGAAAGGTCAAACACAGACTGTACAGAGGGGTCACAGGGGTCACAGAGGGGTCACACAGGGGTCACAGAGGGGTCACAGGAGGGTCAGAGGTGGTACCTGACGTGGCGTCCCTGCATGGTGGTCAGTGGTCCAGACAGAACAGATGCATCATGGGACGGCAGACAACTCCTGAAGTCTGCACACTGCACCAGAGAGTCACACTTGTCCGCCACCAGAGTCCTGCACACATGTGAACCATACACACATGAACACACACATGAACACACACATAAACACACACATAAACACACACACAAACACACACACAAACACACACATATGAACACACACGAACACACACATGAACACACAACACACTGCACCGGAGAGTCACACTTGTCTGCCACCAGAGTCCTGAGGGCATGAACCATACACACACACACACACACACACACACACCAGAGAGAGGCTGAGCTTCGGTGCGAACCACAACACCGTCACAGAGCAGGGGGTGGGGCTTACCACGTCTCCATGGCGACGCTGAAGCAGAAGGATTTTCCGTTGGACAGAGAGACGACGGGGACGCCCTGAGGCGTGAGCAGAGACTGAGTCACCGTCGTGTCTGCACCTGGAACCACAACAACGCACAACAACACACAACAACGCACAACAACACAACGTTACACTAAAGTCCCATCCCTGAGTCCCCAAGTCCCGTCCCTGAGTCGGACCTGAGAGCAGCGGGAGCAGAGACGCGTCCTTCACCAGCGCCTTGGGCTTCAGCACGTCCCTGAGGAAGAGGAGGAAGAGGAGCAGAGCGTTAGGTGGCGTCGCTGTGGAAGTGTAAACGTGTAAACGGTAAAACGGCGACAGACCAGACGGAGAGCGTGGCGCCGGCGCTCAGGGCCATCACGTAGCGGCCGGCGCAGTGCAGCGCCGAGACGGCAGACGGCAACGCCAACGGAGGAAACAACCGACGACCACACGACGAGAAGAGAGACAGAGTCCGGTCCTCACAAGCCACCGCAATGACATCACTGAAACACAGAGGTCAGAGGTCACTGATCACGGGTGCGTGTGTGTGTCTGTGTGCGTGCATATGTGTGTGTCAGTGTGTGTCTGTGTGTGTGTATCTCTGTGTATGTGTCTGTGTGTGTGCGTGTGTATCTCTGTGTGTATGTGTCTGTGTGTGTGCGTGTGTATCTCTGTGTGTATATGTCTGTGTGTGTTACCTGCTTCCGGCTGCACACAGCACTGAACTCGGCAGCAGACTGTTCCAGTCTCTTCCGTCTCTGGAGCATCGGAGTTGACTGAGTCTGGACCCGGACACCACAGAGACCTCGTTCTCCAGCTCCACCGTCACACACGGGTCCATGCTCACCTGGACGCACAACCAGACAATTCACACACAACACACACCTGGACACACAACAATACACTTTACACACAACACACACACACCTGGACACATTTTACTCATAACGAGACACACTTTACACACAACAGGACACACTTTACACACAACACACCCCTGGACGCACAACAGGACACACTTGACACACAACACACACTCACCTGGACACACAACGAGACAATTTACACACAACACAAACTCACCTGGACGCACAAGTGTACAGTTTATACAGTACACACAGGCACACACATTCCTGCTCAGGTGTGTGTGTACAGTGTGTGTGTGTATATGTATACGTGTATAGTGTGTATGTGTGTGTATGTGTTTGAGTACGTGTGTGTATTCGGACCTGCAGGCTGAGGCTCTTCTGGGCGCTGGGTGTGGGGAGTCTGCAGACCTGAGCTGGAGCGTGAACGACTCGACTCGACTCTGGAGGAACCTGAGCACAGAAGGTCAGAGGGTCAGAGGGTTAGCAGTCACTAATCTTAAAAAGAACAAAACCACAAACTCCAGCGCCTTAACCCCACAAGCTCCCGCGCCTTAACCCCACAAACTCCCGCGCCTTAACGCCGTCGCGGTTTGACCCGGTGGGCCGTGTGACCTCTGACCTGCACAGGGGTGAAGCTCTGGGCGGCGGGGGCCATCTTGTCTTTGCGCGGCCGTCCCTTCTTCCTCTTCTCCACGACCTCGGCGGCCTCTAGCTCCGCCCTCCTGCGGTCCTCCGCCCCCTCGGACTCCACCCTCCTGCGGTCCTCCGCCCCCTCGGACTCCACCTTCCTCTTCAGGGCCAGGTTCCTGTTGATGGCGGCCATTTTGTCATCGCTGTCGCTGCTCGACTCGTCTTTGGGCTTCACCTCCTTCAGAACCAGCGCCTCCTTCGGTCTGAGCCACAAAAAACACGTAAAACTCACGGAGAAAGACACTGAGAAAGACACGGAGAAAGACACGGAGAACCCACGTAAAACCCACGGAGAACACATGGAGAACACAGAGAACACACAGAGAACCCACGAAGAAAGACACGGGTTTAAACGAGAAGACGACACACGGGGAGGGCATCTGACACACAGGACACAGAGGCGCGGGAGGGCATCTGGAGTACCTGTCCAGAGGGGTGAGGGCAGAGGTGGAGGTGATGGCGTTGGTGACCCCGGGCGTGACCCTTGACCTCTCGGTGAACCTGGAGTCCAGCGCCTTCATCGGCTCGATCTTTGAGGCAGAGGTCAGCAGCAGAGTCCCCTTCACCCTGAGACACAGACCGGGTCAGAACCAGGACCAGAGCCAGATCCCGGCCTAGAGTGTGTATTGGCGGAGCCGGACGACCTACCCGTCCTTGTCCCCGTCCTTGGTGCCGGCTGGAGGGGACGTCAGGGGCTCGTGTCCCGGCCGCAGCACCAGAGCGGAGCCCGGGCCCTGGGTGGCGTCGGGGCCGAGTGGCGCCCCCATCTGGTTGGACAGAGACGAACCGGACGGCAGGATGGGAGTGCTGTTGAACAAGGCCGGAGAGAAGTCCCTGAAACCAGAACCACAATCAGACAGGAGCAGACAGAAGCGGGCAGGAGCAGAGAAGAGGAGACAGGAGCAGACAGGGGCAGACGGGGGCAGACGGGGGCAGATGGGGGCAGAGAGAAGAAGACAGGAGCGGGCAGGAGAAAAGATGGGGAGACAGGAGCAGAGAAGAGGAGACAGGAGCAGAGAAGAGGAGACAGGAGCAGAGAGTTGCAGACCCTGTGTCCAGCTGAGCGATGCACAGAGGGGTGATTCTCCTCCTCCCGTCCGCCGTCCTCGTCTCCACCTGCTTCTTCAGGAGGTTCTGAAAACAAAAAAGAAAGAACCGTTTTAATTTTTATGTCCTGGGTTTTCTGAGTTTTCACCTGAGTGTGTGAGCTGTAGAATAGTTATAGTAGTAGTAGTAGTACTAGTTGTAGTAGTAGTAGTACTAGTTGTAGTAGTAGTAGTACTAGTTGTAGTAGTAGTAGTAGTAGTACTAGTTGTAGTAGTAGTAGTAGTAGTAGTAGTAGTAGTAGTAGTAGTAGTAGTAGTAGTAGTTGTAGTAGTAGTAGTAGTAGTAGTAGTAGTAGTAGTAGTAGTAGTAGTAGTAGTAGTAGTAGTAGTAATAGTTGTAGTAGTAGTAGCAATAGTTGTAGTAGTAGTAGTAGTAGTAGTAGTAGTAATAGTAGTATTTGTGTACCTTGCGTATGTCCTCGAGCGACTCCCCATTGACGACGCTGCTGAGTTTGGGGGCAGAGTTCTGGTTAGTCCCGGGCTGGGTTCTGGTCTGGTCTTGGTTCTGGTTCCGTTCCTGTTGGTACTTTAACATCTCGGGGTTCTCGATGATGGTGGTGGAGAGCTGAGCCTCCGTGTTGGTGATGGCCAGACTCTTCCCGTAGATGTTCTGATGAATCGTGTTCTGAGGAAACACAAACGTCACTCATTCGGGTTTCAAGATCCACCACAGGTCCGCCTGAGACCCGCCCGAGACCCACCCAAGATCCAGCCCAGATCCAGACGGGTCTGAACCTTAGTGGGTAATAAGTAGTTCTAAATGATATTTTTAAAGGGCTTCAAGTCCTGACATGATGGACACCCTGGAGAGAGTCTGGTCCAAAGCTTCTTCTGACAGAAAACCTCCACTCTAACTGTCCAGAGGTCCACCCTAAGCTCCCGTGGTCCACCTGAAGCTCCCGTGGTCCACCCGAAGCTCCCGTGGTCCACCCGAAGCTCCCGTGGTCCACCCGAAGCTCCCGTGGTCCACCCGAAGCTCCGGAGGCCTACCTGAAGCTCTACTCTGAAAACCATCACTGTGACTTCAAACAGGTTTAATGTGAGAGGAGAGAGAAGAGCAAACAGACCTGGACCTCCACTCCAACCCCGTAGCAGACAGCAGGGGGCAGTAAGGGGGCAGTAAGGGGACAGTAAGGGGACAGTAAGGGACAGTAAGGGGACAGTAGGGGGCAGTAGGGGCAGTAGGGGAGGGGGGCAGTAGGGGGCAGCAGGGGGCAGTAAGGGGGCAGCAAGGGGACAGTAAGGGGACAGTAGGGGGGCAGCAGGGGGATGTAGGGGGCAGCATAGGGCAGTAGGGCGCAGTAGGGGCAGCAGTAGGGGGCAGCAGGGGGCAGCAGTAGGGGGCAGCAGGGGGATGTAGGGGGCAGCAGCAGGGGCAGTAGGGGCAGTAGGGGCAGCAGTAGGGGGCAGCAGGGGGCATGTAGGGGGCAGGGGGCAGCAGTAGGGGATGTAGGGGGCAGCAGGGGGCAGTAGGGGGATGTTTGGGGACAGTAGGGGACAGCAGGGGGCGCTCTCACCTTCTCGTCCTCGCTCAGGGGGTCCCCAAGCTCATCCAGAGAAAAGTCCAGATAGGCCACGGTCCCGTCCATGGAGCAGACGAGCATCCCCAGTCCACTGAGCGTCCACGAGATGTCCATGATGGATTTATCGAACAGGTCGTGTATGACCACCAGGGGGCGCTTCAGGGACGTCAGCTGCACACATACAAAGTTTGTATTTGAAGCATGAGTAGTAACAGTAGTATTAGTAGTAGTAGTAGTAGTAGTAATAGTAGTAGTAGTAGTAGTAGTAGTAGTAGTAGTAGTAGTAGTAGTAGTAGTAACAGTCGTAGTAACGATATCCAAATCTCCCAGTCTGATATTTACTAGAGCCCGACCGATATGGATTTTGTTATGGCCGATATGAAACTGATATAATGGGAGTTGGCGCTGCCGATATAATCGCCGATATATTTAGTGATGTAAAAATTCACTGTAAATGTTTAATTGTTTAAAAAACTTAGGTTTGGCTCTAGTGGATTCTAAATTGGGTTTATTTAGGCAACATTTATTGTTATTCTGCCTCTTTGCATCATATTTACATACAGTAGTTTGGCCTAATGGCATTTTTGCATCACATTCTAGCTACTAGTGATGGGTATTCCAGTTTTTTGTTTTTTTTTGGGAGAACTGGCTGTTTCAGCTCCCAAGCGACTCTTGAGATTGTTTTGTTGCAAGCAGAACTAAACCAAAACTAAACCAGGACTGAAAAAGGACTAAAACAGATTTAAACCATGTGTAAAACAGGACTAAACCAGAACTGAACCAGAACTGAGTGTCGGGACTCGGTCTCTCCTTCACTCGAGCCCAAGTTTAGTCCTGGTTTATTCATTTTATGCTGAACTGCAGCCAAATATGCACTTTTTTTTATCCTGTGCACACGCATATTTCTGAAAGTTTCGTTTTCAGCCGCTGCTGCTGTCAAACTACGGGTCTACATGCGGCATGAAGAGAAAAAGTGAGAGAAAGAGAAAACACGGCTCCCAATAAGAAACAGGCTCCCGTCGTTCACTTCTAAGAGCCGCTTCGATCGCGACCCATAACTCCTAGCTAGAAAAGAAACTACCGCTATTAGCCTTTAGCCGTAAAAACCATGGATCTATTAAAATGTTCGTCTGACAGATCACCTACAGCTTTCAAAAATGTCGGATTTGCTGACAATTTTTACCTATTTTTGGATCATAAACTTTTTCTCAGCTCAAAATCCTTCACTTGTCTTAAAAACGCTTTATATTCGTTAGCTTCGGCTCCACTCTGCTCCACACCGCTTCTCTCGCTCTGATTGGTCAAAGCGATCACGTGATACACGAACCCGCGCACCGTGCGTGCTGTCGCGTGCGCCCGTGGGAGAAAAGCACTACTGCGCATGCTCGGTCGGCCCACGGCCACCGGAAGTACCTAGCCGAGCAAGGCTAATCTGGGATCATGCGCCATTGAGCTCGGCCCATTGACTTGAATGGGCGGCCATTTTGGAACCTGGGGGCTTGGTAAAAACGTGCGCGCCGCGGTAATTAATTATATGCATAAATGTGGATCATTCACACCTTATACACAGCTCATTTACATATCGATGCTGGTCCAGTAGCAAATATACGGCCAATGTAGTCACCAATAGAAAACAGCCTGTTTATGTGCGGGAGCTACAGCAGCTAATTGCTAAGAAAACCTAAACTAGCTTCAAAGTCGATGTATTTCCAACACTCACCGCTCACACAGGCTCCTCCCACATCACAAGTCTGCACTAATAAATGTCCTTTTAATCCAGACTCAAACCGATTGTCCGTAAAAAGAAAATAATCTCAGTGTTGCACCGCTGCGGGTGTAAACAAGAACACGTGAGTGAAGTGACGTCACTCTGTGGTGTGTTCAGGGACAGTACGGACACACACACAGACAAATTACACCGCAGATAAATACTGATGCGAAGCCACATATTAGGACATTTATCTGTCTGTAAATTGGATTAAATGAACATAATGTAGAGAGTCTAAGCTTTATAACGACATATAACATGCTCACGTGAAATATCGGCCCATATCAGCAAGCATATCGGCCAGCCGATATATCGGTCGGGCTCTAATATTTACTGTGATATTTGTGGGAACACTCAGGGTTAAAGGAGGACTCATGATGTTGAGCTCCTTAAAATAAGAAGCAGAAAAGCCACATTTGCCAATCACTTGCCTTCATTTTTTATTTATAACTTTTATAAAATGCAAAATACCAATTTATATTAAGAACAACGTCAGTGTGAACAACCTGTGTGTCCAAAC